ATAAATTAATTTGCAACATTTTGGATTAGGAAATGATGAACGTACGTAATGATTTTTTTCACTTCAATCGGCTGTTTATTTTTATTTTTTTTTCCCCTCGTATATTATATTTTTAGATAATTTAAAAACTTGATCGTAATGGTCTTTTTTTTTTTTTTTTAGAAAGGTAATAATATTTTTTCCGGCATATTTATATAAACTACGCATTAATATACTTTACGACCGCAGTTCACGCACGTGAACAAATTTGTGAACTCTAAAATATGAATTGTTGGACAAGCATTTTGAACATGTCTTTCACGATTTTCACGCAATACATAATATGTTTTTTAATATGAATTATGAATCGAGGAAATTTTTAGCAAATACCATTAAATAAATTAATTAGCGTAATGAGGAATTGACACTTCGCTAGTATTAAATTAACTTTTCAATTAAATCCAAAAAAAAAATTTTTTGAATCAAGAATCGTGAATTACGTGAATTACTACCCTCTTTTGAATATTGATTATTATTTTTTGGTCAAAAGAGTTACAAAGAATTATGTTCTATTTATTTGATAATATATCTTTCTAATTCTATTTCAATCATTAATGAGTTGTTGCAAAACAAATTCTCTTTTTTAAAAAATTGTGTTAAACCCATTTTTTACGATTTGTATTTAACATACCAATTCATTAAAATATCGTAATAAGAGACGGTGAACGCTTCTTAAAGTAAATTCTAACTTTTCATTGGCTTTTGTAATCCATAAAGTATTGGTCCAGAACGAACTGAAGGACAGACACTTTAATGATCGATGTTCGTTGTCCGCCCGCTCAATATTTGAGTCGATACGTGATTGGTTTCTTTCGTTATACTTGAGTTCCGGACTTAACAACGGTTTTCCTAATTTGTCAACAAATAGAATTTTAAATATGTCGATCATTTGTGTTACAACAACTTTTGTTACACCAATGGGAACTTCTTCTCTTAAGAAGGTAAATCAACTTAAAAATGAAACTTCAAGTCAGCAAATATGTAAATTTCACTGCAAAAATCAAGAAGATTCGACTCCGAATTTTAAATGAAATTCTCAATTAAATAAAAAGGTTCAAATTTTAATTTTTAAGCAAAAGGAAAAAAAGTTATTAAAAATTTTAGCATATTAAAATGTGTTATTTAACTGGTTGTAAATTAAAATTTTAATTTTAATTACCAATATCTGAAGAAATAATTTGACTTCGTAACCTTCTTGTGGATTCTGCGGATTTCATCGAGCTACTTAAAGATCTACTCTACCTGGATTGTTTATTGTTATAGTAAGGATTTTACAATCTTATAAACCTCTCAATCATATGAATCATGCCACCAGCTTCTGGCCTTTTAATTGGATCAGAATCACAGTATCCTTTCATTAACTCAATATAACCTTTAGGTGCGTTGATATCACCTGTTAGAGGACGTAACCCATCACAAATATCAATAAACAGCTCTGTATCATGAGAACGATCCCAAAAAAGTCTTCTACCTGTCAAATACTCATACCAAAGCTATAAATATCTGATGCTTTAGTATACTTTTATAGTTTTGCCCTTGAAGAACCTCTTGGAGCCACATAAGGAATTATTCCATAAGTTTCATTATTAGCAGCTTCAGTAGCTGATTTACTTAATACCAGAATTATGTGCATATTTTATCAAAATATTTCCACTATGCAAATCACAGTGGGTAATTCTTTTATTATAAATATCTGATAGGCCACTTGCAATATTATATAATGTCTTAACTTTATTAACCATTTAACATTAAAATAATCTTTTGCTATATAATGATATAGATCTCATGTATAATAATAATCCATAATTATCACAAATTCTTTAGTAGTAGGATCTTGCGTAATTCCATAATACTCAACAATACTGTAATTGTAATTTCTTAATTTATAATATATTTTAAGCTAACAAATAAGATTATTAATTTGAATATATCCAAGTTAATTAAATAAATATAATAAGAAATATACCTCATTTAGCTCCTTAGATGTAAAATTTAGAAATGTTAAGTTTCTTAAGAGCAACTCGTATATTAGAATACCGACTATATACTTTTTCTTCATTATTCCACCATTTAATTAGACTAGTCGTTGGAATCAGAGTCAACGGCTGAGTCGACAAAATCAAGTTGAGTCGACTTCGGAATTTTCAATGACTGAGCCATGACTGAGTTCCAAATTTGAGATAAGGTCAGTGTATTGATATTGTGAAATATTTAATTAAATAAAACTTCAAATTTCTAGTCAAATGACATTCTTGTCAACATTATTTATGAATTATCTACTTTTTGGAACATAAATTAAAATTAAAAATTTTTATTAAATATTAAGACAATTATGGTCGCGACGGTTGAATCGACTGAAATGTGTCTAATGGCTGACTGAGACGACTCCAGAATTTGTCACGACTGGTACTACTACAAGTGATTTATTAATATATTTCTATATATTGTTAAGCATTTAAACCATTATCATGAGACATGATAAAAGAACAAAAAACTTTGTTAGATTTCAAATAAAAGCTTAACTCTCTCTATTTGTCAATAAGTAGTTAAAGAAATACGTGTCTATTTCTTTTCGTGGCATGGAAGTGTATCATAGTGATTTATGAAAACATTTCGATCACGAAGGTCTACAGTTTCTGGAGATGAATTCGATTATGATCCTACCTTTGTATCTGAAGTGGTATCTTGAGTTTTCTTACTATGCATACTTCTTTCTACCTTTATGTATTCTACTTCTATACTTCTATACATTTATACTATATTTATACTTCTACGTTTTTATCTTAAATATATTTCGTAAACTTGCATTATTTGCTTTCTGTGATTGTTTCTTTGATAACTGCGTTTTTAGCATTATGGGAAAGAATTATTACAAGCTTTCGTTAGCGCAATCAATTTAATATCAATGGCTGAAAAGGTTCTCAATAATGGCCAATTTATTTTGCTATGTCCAACTTCCCTTAAAAACATAGAATAACTATAGTGATTTTTTTTTATTAATGGATTATTTGATGTGATTTTTTTAGCTCAAAATCGTTTATTCATACATAAAATTCATCATTTCAAGCAATTAAATATCTTCGCCATCATTTTATTGCCTATACCTATTAAGTTATATTAAATTTATAATTGTCTGAAGTGTAATGTAGGACTTATATGTACAATCCATACCAGCAATTTTCCGTCTGTCACGCCGCGTGTGATAGCCAATCAAAATTTAGACGATCAGGTATAACATAATATCTGTTGCAACAATAACAATAACAATTAATTTAAGATCACATGCGTTATATGTAATAGTTTATAATG